TTCTAAAAAATAAAACATCAAATATTAAAATAACTTTTTTATGAGAAATAGAGAAATATATTAAATATTTTTTTTTTGGGTAGAAGAAATATATTAAATACTAAAAAATTACAGCAGAATTTTCATCTCGTGGCATATAATCAAATTCAAAATAACATAAAAATAGAATCAGAAACATAATCTACAACGCTAGTAACAAACTTAAACTATACCTATGACAGATATAGACAATTAAGTAAAGAAAGTTATCTGCAACTAGGGATTGAATTTACAATCGTTGTATGGGCTAAATAGGGCTACTAATGCATAAAAGGGAGTTATTGTGACTATTAAGAGCTACTGAACATCTTCACCTATTTAACTAACTTATTGGAGAGAGCAAGGGATTCTAGTAACAAATAGTCCCCAACCCATAAGTTGCAGCCCTACTTATTCTTAAAGAAGAACAACCGAGAAGGAGATAGACCTTTTCTTGACAAGCACAAGGTCCCTCAATCACCTCCATATACTCCCAATTATGTTCCCATCTTTGTCAATCTTCTTCAAACCCATGTTGTCAAAACTCATTAAGGGAACTAGAGTTCCTTTGCCAGCTTGAAAATCAAGCTTCCCACGCCGACCATAGCTAGCCTTACCAACAGAATCCCTTTTTGTCGACAATCAGCTAGCTGATTGAGAATTACTGTGAGCCAAATTCGCCAAATTTGACCCCTCCACCAAGATCCCATCCGAGGAGATGCACCAAAGCGAGATTTTTGCCCGTTAAATAAGAAAAACCCACTTTATTGGCAAGATCAATTCCAATCACAGTTTTCAAAAATCAATAGATGTAAACTCTAAAAAATCCAAAAAGTCACTACCTTGTGGTCGCTTAGGTTGGAGTTTCCAAAGCAAGACAATGACAAGATGAAGGAGGAGATCAAGAGGAAGAAAGGAAGGGCAAGAAGAAAGGAGGGATGAAGGAACTCTTCTGCCAAAGATAAACCCTAAGGAAGAAAACTCACTGCTACTGCTTTCAATCCTAGAAGCAGTGCATGGAAAAACCCTAGGGAGAGATTAATATTAAAATACTTTTAGTCACAAGTATAATACAACATCATTTAACATAATTACAACTATAATTGTAATTATAATACTTCACAACAATTCTTAAGGCAACCATAATCATAGGTTGGGTCCTGGCTGACATGGGCTAATTGGTATGTAGCTGGAACCGGAAGAGAAAGGATACGCATGTACGGCAATATACATTTGTCATCCCTGTTTTCCATTGCTTTGCATCATTTTATACCTTGAAAATTTTGTCTGCCTTTTCTTATTTAATTTGTTCGGTAACAATCCAGCAATCCTAGATTTTTTGTTTAATCATTCCTTCAATGCCTTTTGCACTTCTTATCTTTTAATCTAGGTGGTTACTATGTCCCAAATTAATTTGCATAGATTTCAAAATTAATATTTAATTAAACAATTTTAAAAATGCCTATTTATGATTGATTGGTATACATTTGTCCATCAAAACTTATTTTAACCCG